TTTCTCTAAATAAATATAAATATTATAGCATTTTTAGTTTATTTAATACATTTAGTATGTTTTAGATGAGGTGACTGTTATAATCTTATTTCAATGAGACTGGAGGTTACGAAAAGCTACGTGTACAACAAAAAGTTTGGTGGAAGAAATGGAGCCGTTGCTTATGTATTCTTATTGCATAAACACCAATGAAATACCAGATGAGCTTTTGGGCCAAAATATGATATCTTCACATGTGAAAAGATCACGATTGCTATGGTTACATATCATGCTTTTCGCAGCAAAAGTGAAATGGCTTGGTATTTCATTAGTGTTTATGTAACAAATAGAACATCTCACGGCCGCTTGGAGAAACAAAATTGGTCTTCTTGTGTCGAAAAATATTTTGTATCTCCTCACAGCCATGCAATATCCTCAATAGTTACATCGACAAACGAGAGCCACTTTGCTGTTTACCTGAGCTGTAGATAACATACCACTTGACAATTAATTCATGTTTTAGCATGCATCATCAAGTTAAGTGAGGCTCGCAGGTGAGGGCAACTCTTAACTTCTTTCCTGCTCTCTGAACTAACTTTCCAAGCACATCATAATAAATGATGATGATGATGATGGTGACGACGACGACGACGACGATGATGTGCGAATAAAACCATGATGGGACGGCAAAGGGAATTTCACTTAACTGAAGTAATGTGTGGTACAGCGAGTTTGATAGCGCAGCTTTGCTATCGACATGTATGTTACAATGTGACATGATGCTGGACTAACCTGTTGATTTTCCTCTTGACATCTGCTGAACAGTTTGATGCCAGTCTGGCAAGCTCTTTGATAGCAGATTCCATCTGAGATTTAATAAATGGCTTTTGATCAACATTAACACTCTACCAAATGTTTCTCATGTACTTCTATAACAGGCATCTAAGAAGAATCTAGTTTTCAGTCACAACATTATTTGAAACATTGGAGTTAAATCAGTTTTACAAGTCTGTATCATACTGAGTGGCCAAATACTGCTGCAGCCTATCCCAGTTTCTGTAGCATGAGGCAACTGGGAGTGTTTCTACTTCCCCTGGATGGGATGCTAGTCCATTACAGGGTTACCGCCAGCATTAAGTTCGGTGGTACCCATTTATACACCTGGGTGGAAAGAAGCACTGAGAGAGTAAAGTGTATTGGCCAAGAATACAACACAATGACCCCCAGCCAGGACTTGTACCCAGACCTAACTCAATCCTGAGTCCACTGTGCTAACCATTAGCTCAGTTTACATGAACATTATACATGGAACTTGAGTATGCTATAAAGAATAGAGCCTTCTTTGGTTACATGTAGGTTTGTAGAAATACAGTAAACTACAGAAACTCAGTACTGCTGCCACCATATATGGCTACATTTGTCACACAAATGATGAATAAAGAATTTATATTATTATAGGTAGATCTATTATAATATTGTGAAATCAAACCTTGGTCTGCCTCCGTCCTTGTTTTCTCTGTTTCAAAATCTGTTGATTCTCATATCTCTTCACCCAACCTTCCAGAGCTTCATTAATTCTGGGAAAGAGATGGAAATCATGACCAGTAGAGCAGTTGCAAGGCCATTTTGGGGACTGAGAGGGGGGTCGTTATGTATGCATGTCTCCCCTGTTTATATTTGAAACCTTTTTGTGTTGCAAATTTGGAAGGTTTTGAAATCATGACCAGCAGAGCAGTTACAAGGCCCTGTTGGAGAGAGGGGGGTTGGCATGTTTTCATGTCCCATACTGAATTTCAAACCTTTTCATATGTCGCAATGTTGGAAGGTATACAAGTCATTGTTAAAATTTTAACCTAAGTCTTGTTGTTTGCCATCACTTCACCAGCCCCATGGATGTCACTGTTTCAACCCCTTGCTGCTTTCCAGAAATGTACTTCAAGAGGCGCTCAGTGGCAATTTAATTTTGTATATAATGAAGTGAAACATAAAATTCTAAGAACTCACTGTAATGTTTAAGTTCATTTTCTATTTCTTTCATTGTGATGTCATTATTTTCTACACAGCCTATTGCAGGCCAGTTGGACTATTATGATTTTATAATATTTCTTTCTGGTTAAATACCTTGTTGCTTCTGTCTTGTTAAAATAACTTGGGCAGTAAAACTGATCATCTAGTGTTCCATTCTGTTGTTTACTTTCAATCTTTCTTCTTGACTTAAGGTTCCTTTCCTTCCTTTTGAGATTCCTTCTCTTCTGTCTTGAATCACCAAGGAAGTCCCACTTGTTCTTTATCACCATTAAGTCCCTCCTCTCAGCATTTCTACTTTTCAACGGTGATGACTTCTTCTGTGAAGTGTTTAGCATGCTCGGGTCCACCTTGGCGACTGTCTGTCTGTCATGGAATTTATTGACAGCTGGACCAAACACAAGTGGTTTATCAATGTTGCTACCATCCTCATCTCCTTGATAATTCAGAAGTGCTCTTCCATGGTGAATCATAGAGCTGGGTAGTAAATCTGGTCGGTTTAGTTTCCACTGCTCCTTCAGAGTGCTATAGTCCAAAAAGTTACATAAGAAAAAGGCATATATGTACTATCATGACAGACAGTGTCCTTATTTATTGATCTTGATAGAATGTCATACAACAAAATCTGGTCACAGAGGACCCAGACAATCCAGCAAGCCAATCAAAACTCAAAGTACATACATGTCCATGTAGAGAGCATGAGCGGGTCATGATTGATAATTTTGCTTTAACTTCTGTTTGGTTGAAAAATTGGCACAAGTCAAGTTTACAATGTGCACCTCCCATGTTTATGAATATGTGGGAGGTCAGGCAGGGAAGTGCAAATATTAATCCTAGGAGTTTACCCTGACAACGGGAGCATCAGACACATGTACATGAACTACATGTAATAGTGCATCTAAATAGAAAATGGAATTTCCACTAGCATCCAAAAGCCTGAAAACCTGTACTGCACTGTACATCGCAACATGAAAGTATTTAAAGGTTTCTTCAAAACTCAGCCAAATTGTTGTTAATAAATTAAAGTACATGACCAGTCTCCTCATTCATCATCAGAAAAAAAAATCATTTGTATCCCCAGCTGTCATGGCTGCATTTCGAGAACATTTTCTAGTCTCATTAGAAGTTTTCAAAATTAGCTTAATAATTTTTATTGCAGCAGTTATTTACACCTGATATTATTGGTAGCAATGCATACTTAAATAGAAAGGACAAACCATTATGCTATGAAATATACATGTATGTACACTAGTGGGTGTACATTTTTGACTTGTTTCAATTCTGTAAGTACTCACCTGAAAGGTCCAATGTTCAAAGCTACAAACAAAACAACAGCTAAAACACATGTCGATTTCTTTATGGTGCTTGTCAACTCTGGGTGCTTACTACGCAAAAGGGTGTTCTGTTCAAAATACAAAAACAAAATTGTTAGTCTTAAAAAATCACATTCTGATATATAAGAACATACAGCTTGTACCAATCATGGATGTAAGTGTAATAACTGTATTGTGGCTTGTAAACTATATTTTTTTAAATTATTTTTTCCTGTTCTTTTGAGGCATTTAGAGGATGATACAGACATGTATGCAGGTGTGGATTTGATCAGTCACCAGCTTGAATTTCTATAGAACTGCATTNTCCTTGTCCATGTACTTAAAGCCCACAATTTCATATCTCATAACATGCCTTTTTCCAGACAGATTTTTTTCCACCCACATGTACAACATCTGACAGTTTATGTTGCAATGCAATCAATCACATATAAACTATATTCATATGACAATTGTGTTGACAAAACCAGACATTATAGGCCCGTCTATCAACTGGAATTCATATTAACCAGGGTCTATTGTATATTTAGCTCTCATTTCTCTCACCTCCTTCTTTTTCTTTCTTGATAAGCAGGCAGACTCTCTATTTTTTATCATTCGCTGTTGTCTCTTTAAAAGTTTTGCCTACAAAAAATAATACACATAAATAATAACTTTTGTCTGACAGCAATACTTATCAATTGTAAAATTCAAGACCTATTATGCAATCAGATCTCAGGGAAAATGTGTCATACAGGCTGCATCAAGCTAAATGTAGGAAATTCTCTTCAAATGAGATATACACATGTAACACCGTTTTAAATTAACAGACTTACCATTATGTGTATCATTAGAAGCCAGTATATAGTATACAGTTACTCAAAAGTTGAATTCAATGTCCAGAAAATGAATGCCCTATAATGTATCTGCATAGAAAACTACATTGAACTTACGTCAGTTTCGGAAGAAGAGTTATTGCTGCATCCAGATGCACCAACGCTGACCGTTTTGGGTATTGTAGGAGTAACATTTTTCTAAAATAATTTGACAAAGAATTAAAAAATCAATGTGGGAAGTTAAAAAAATTTCAAGATTTCTGTCCACAGGGCATTGAATCCTGCAATCTTGCGGTTGCAAGGCGCGTGAAACTATGGTCACGAAATGCAAACTTGTTCTTAAGGAACCTCACCAGTTGACTAAATTCACTTAATAGGTCCACTTACAGGGCTTGACACTAACGGTAGCCAACTACATGTAGCCACAGACTTAGTAGTAGAAATTTAGTTTTGGCTAGTAGGTTTTCAATTTCCACTAGCCACTTTGTAGCTACTTTGGCTAGTCAACAAAATGAAATTGGCTGAACTAGTTTCTGTCTTTTTCAAGGAAGACAAACACAAAATTTACACTTTTCTTGGAAACAATGTCAGAATTTCATTGTGGACATATCATGGTACCAGACATGTGCTGTTCAGCACGTATGTCTACTTTTCGCTGTGTGGTACGTAAACGGGGAAGTGAACATGTTAATTTTGTTGAAAGAAATATTTGACAAACAAGACAGCACACACCAATGCTCTTTTTGTTACAAAATTTTTTTCATGCGCAAAATAGTGCGAAACTGTAAAGGGATAACTTTTAATTTGGCATAACAATATATGGGTGATTGGTTGTTGTATGCATATTACAAACTTACCACTACAGAAATAATTAGATAAGAAAGATTTATTTCCTTCGACATTTAAATCAGCCGTTTTTAGCAGTCAAATTTTGCCAATAACAGTTTACAGTATTGTTCAGATAGTTATTTTGCTTTTGAAACATTTCTACAGTGCCTATCTGTGAAGAAGTCTTTTACAGTGATGTCTTGGGGGTCTCAACATTTTTCCAAGGAAGTCTCAGAGAAAGACAGAGTCCTGAAAGTCTTTTCGGGTACTGGAACTTTTTAGAAACTAGTTTAAGTACAGCATAATTACCAACATTATGTATTAAAGAGAGTGGCTTGTGTTGTGCTTTCAAGTCTTGCTAGTAATTCTGCTGTTATTGGACCTACCTGAAATTTTCGCGACTTAAAAAAAAACATAAAATTAAAGTGACGCAAATAAGTAAGTGTTGGGAACATGACACATTATGTTACTGTTGACATACAGTCCATTGCGTTTTTGTTACTTTTGACGTTATTGTACCTTCGATAAAGTCAGTTTACTAAATTCAAAGACATGTTTAAGTAACGTTGTCAAGGAAACAAAATTAATTTCATGTTACTCAAAAACGCAAAGTTAAAGTGATTCAAAATACAAATTTTTGCAAAATCGTGAATTTAAGTGTAGCGAAATATGCACACCCCCAAATCGCAAAATAAACATGTAGCAAAAATTTCATATAATAAGGTAGCCAACCTCAACGCTTGGCTAGTAAAAAAAAAGTGTTTTTGGCTAGTAACATCTAAGTAGTCACTAGCCACTTGGCTAGTAAGTTGAAAAGTTAGTGTCGAGCCCTGCCACTTACACAATATTTGGCAGAGAACATTTCACTTCAAAGATCTAATTGCAATATTTTTTAGCTTACAGACACTGTGGCCTTATTCACTTATGAAGCCCTATTTTTTAAGATTTAGGGTGTTCTTCTGGGCATTTTCTCTCCAAAACGAAGTCAGTGACCCCTCATTTTTTTTACATTTCTGACATAACTAACTCATGTTACAGTGGTAAAAGTCTCAGAAAAAAAAAATGTTGGAAAATTTTCGTGCAAACGTCCTTAAAAGAACGTCTTTGGATAAAAGGAAACTACTGCATTGTAACAGCAGCTACTGCACATCTGTAAATTGTATGTACTTTAATGTAAATAAAATAATTAAAGAATTAAGAATTTGAACACTACTGCATGTACCTACCCCAACAACAACTGACACCACACCATTGGTTGGTAATGAGCCAGTACAAGGGATATAGACTGGAATACCTGAAGAGTAACACATGTATATATTACATAGCCATGGAAACAGGAAAGGGGGTATTACTAGTCTCATTTAATTCAAGAAGGCATAAGGAAGAAGTTGACTAGTTCAAGACATTACATGTGGTCAAACTTCAGGCTGTACATTATATCCCGCGAGCGTTTAACTTTAAAAAGCAGATGAAAGATGCATGCTGCAAGGCCTTTATCAAATTATGATGAACTTAAACTGACCATAACAAACAAAGAGCATGTAATTCTATGAACATTTTCATGTCAGTGTGTACAATGCTATGGACAATTTCATGCTCTGACTTTGTTTTACATCTTATACAGTAGAGTGTATGTATGTATGTACAGCATGTAAATACGATGAACAACATACCTCCAGCAGGCTTAGTATTGAGTTGTCCAAGCTGAGATTTCTGAATGCCCACAGGAACTGTAGCCACTGGCATGGGTTGAATAGATTTGACTCCACATGATTGTAAAGGTATTTTCTCTTGTTTTACACTGCATTGAACAGGTGTGAGAGTTGCTTCTGTCTTTACACACAACGGACTGGGTAGTAAGCTGCTTTGCGATAATTCAAAATCTGCACTAGGCTGATGGACTGGTGAACTTTCTCCATTTATAAGAAACTGAAGCAAATCACACATTTATAATAAGCTTAGCACATAAACTGTAAACCACTTTCTTAGTAATGGTCCACATAAGAACTACAGGGAAGGCCAAACACAAAATCGATTAAAAGTGTGAAGTCTTAATAATGTTATTAATTTCTACCCTAAATTTCTTACGCTTAAAAGTTTGTATCAAGCAATACAAATTGTACAAAA